TCTATTTTATTATTTTTTAGTTGTAGTTGGTCACAATACCTTTATTTTATTAATTTTTATGTGGTGCTGAAAAATCTAACCCAGGGCCTCACACGTGCTAGGTGAGCACTCTACCAATGAGCCACAACCCCAGCCCCTAGGTTTGCTTTTTAAAGGTACTTATGGGGTAACTTTATAAGCTGCCCTTGTATTCATACTGTACAGCCACAGTCATTCATTGTGCAGTCCTTTATTGGGTAGATCCAATATCCTTTTTTTTTTGGTACTAGGGATTGAACTCAGGGGCAATCAACCACTGAGCCATATCCCCAAACTTATTTTGTATTTTATATAGACACAGGGTCTCACTGAGTTGCTTAGCATCTCGCTTTTGCTGAGGCTGGCTTTGAACTCAAGATCCTCCTGCCTCGGGCTGAGCCGTTGGGATTACAGACATGTGCCACCATGCCCAGCCCAATATCCCTTTTTAAACAGACTATTTCTAGTTCAAACAATGCAAAAAGGAAAACTACTTAGATCATAGGAACCTGATCTTTTCTGTACTTCAATGGCTAACAGGTATGAGAATATGATTATATTTTGAGGGCTGGGGATACAGTTCAATGGTACACAGTATCTGCCTTGCATGTGTGAAGACCTGGGTTTAATTCCCAGTACAACAAAAGCCATAATAAATGAATGAATGAATGAATAAATAGACAGATAGATAAATAAATAAATATTAGGGTTAGGGCTGAGTGGTGGAGCACTTGATCAGCCTATGTGGGGCACTGGGTTCTGGGTTCGATCCTTAGCACTGCATACAAAAATAAATAAGGCAGCGCCATGCTGTCCATCTACAACTAAAAAAAAAAAAAAAAAAAAGAAAATTTGAAAAGCTTATCCTACCTGGTACTCAGCATAATTCTTCAATCCAATACCCAGGAAGGGTTTAAAGGCCTCCATGTACTTGAGGAATTCACCACCCAACACTGAAACAAAATAGATATTAGCAAATGATAGCAACACAGGATATCAGGTGAGCAAAATAACCATCCTAGGGCTGGGGATGTGGCTCAAGCGGTAGCACGCTCGCCTGGCATGCGTGCAGCCC